GTCGCTAAATAACTATGCAGGGAGGAAAAAAGCAAAAGAAAACTATGGAACACCCTAAGTGGAGACCTGGAGCGATTTTCTGCCACCTCTAGCTCAACAATCGTTTCTCCGTTTCATTCAATACTAATACCATCTGAAAACAAAAGAAACACCGAATAAGGTGGTGTAAAAATGAACTTGTGAAAAATAGCCTTTGAGTTCCGGTAGGCGGGACAACTAGGGAGGCGTCAGAGATGCCACTTGTGAGGGCCACAGCGCCTTCGTCACTTACTGTGGAGCTTCGAAAGTGGGATAATCCAAGAGAATGCGGGCCAACTCTTTGCACAAGGAAGGGTTGCCTCAGAAGACCTAAATTTTTCTTTAAGCGGTCCTTACCGACATACCTACTCCGCTAACCTCCCGCTCATGGTTGAAAGGGTCTGCTCTGCTCTTATGTGCCCTGGGAATGATGAAGGTCATACCTGTTGCCAGACCAATCCCCTTATCGCATGCGGCACGCATTCTGCAGCCAAACAAAATCGCAAGGGCATTTGTGTGCAATGGGCTTTTACCTACAAGGGCTCTCGTTGGCTAATCGATGCGCAAGTCGGTGCATTTATCCTCCCAGACGATTGCGGAACGACAACATCTGACGGAGGCCTACCCGGGCTTTTACCCCAGAACCCATTCGCCGCACAGGGGAGGTTGAAGTAGTGGTAGTTAGGCCATATAAAGAAAATCTAGACTGCTAAACAGCTGCTGAAAATGGATGGTCGGACGACCAGCGAGGCTGCCAGCTTGGCGCAGCTACCAAAACGTGGCTATCTTGAAGTACATTTCATGAGTCGCCACAGTCGAAGATATTAGCATAACTGCAACAATAGCTATTGCTGTTGCCGGTTCATGAAGCGTTCCTGCTTGATTATGCGACGGATTTTGCACTAAGAAACAGGTATGCGTCTTCAATCTACTGTTCACTAGGCAAATGCCCAAAGAAACTTACCCTCTTGGCAGAAAACTGCGATAACGGTTTGCTAAGCTTGACGGATCGGCCGCCACCTAAAATCGATCAATCGATTAAATGATTTTATTATCGTGTTAAAACTCCAAGGTGCAATGGTACGTGACATGACACATCGCCACCATAGATACGATACATAAAGAAAGGAAGAGTTGGGGACAACACCCGTGAGTAGAGCGTTAGCGATGAAGGGCAGTGGCCTCCAACACTGCAAGCTCATTTAGACGGCATTCCGCAAGAGCTCCGGATACCAGCTGAATAGGTCCGCCCGCCAACGTCCAACCCGCGGCTTCTTGAAGGGTTCAGAGGGGCGACAGTCGATTTTGAAATATAGTTGTGTCGTCACAATTAATATTACCGTTGTAAGGAGGAGGAGGATGAGTTGGCTTCTGGCGGCCCTTTGTGCCAATAGTGATCTGTTTGATCAGATTTGGGGCAAGAACAACCAATGGTGCCGCGGGCGGGCTCATTTCATGTCTCTTCACACCGCCCCGACTGAATGCAATGATATCAACAGTCAGCATCGCTATCAGGCCGCTTTCTACTCTACTACTCGATAGAAATTCATCTGTAGTGAACGGAAATCGGTTTAGAGTGGCAGAAATATATCAGTAAAATTCAATGGCCTGGAACTTAAGTGTCCTACTACTGAGCTCTGCCCTCATCACGAGCTCAGAGGATGCTCAGAGAGGATGATACAAAGAAAACGCTCTCTCATACTTGTAAGTTGCCTCTTTCACTAAAATGCAGCAAAGGCGCTTCATAAATATCACTTAAAGGTGAGCTCTGCTATTGGATTGGCTTGTGGTCTAGCTGCTCTAATCATTACACCTTGCATCTACGCTGCATTCGAGGTGCGCAACTAAAATGGTCTACTTATTTATTACAGTATTTTTTATTTGTTTACTAATGTATATAATCCTTTCTGTATATTTGTATGTTCGCAACAGGGCATTGGTTCCAATAAGCGATGAAGGGGATCTGAAGGGGATATTGATGGTAAATAGCTAGAAATGCTAGAAGCTGATAAAGTCTGGCAAGAGCTGAATTCATAATTGCCACCTTGGCAGGCGCTGTATGGCGCCTTTTTCTGCCAAGGCCCCGTTATGGCGCCTAACCAAGGTGCAACATACCTACCCAGACGCCCACCACAACCACCCACCCACAAACAGTGACATCCATGCTGGTACTCTTATCGCTCCATTAATGACCTACGACATGAAAGGTTGCTACATGGACATAGGAATGCACAGGTCATGTATCTATCAAGGAGGCCGCCATTTTCCACTATATGCCCCTCTGCTACTATTTCAAAGCCAGTATTAAATTGTCGTGCCTTATGCTTTCAAGGACGATTAAGGATTGGAAAGGAATGGCGGCTAGACTAATGACGCACTTCACCGCGAAAGCGAGTAGTCTATTCCATATGGGGAGCCTTCGACATTATAGACGGGTTACAGGAAGTGCTATCGGCTGATAAAGGCTGTTAAGCGTCGTTACAGTGGAGGCGCTCCCAAACTTTTTAAGCACCGTACAGACTTTCCGCTAAAGCGCGTCGACGCGCGTACGACGTCACGGACGAACGCGAACTCCGCCGCAGACGGGAGACGCCGACCGATTTTCGCCTGCGATTGACGGGCGCCAGTCGCTTGTGCTCGGAGAGTGAATGGTGGAACCGAATGGTAGATGTTGCCTAGTCCGCAAATTGGTATCGATCGGCTCTGACCATCTGCGGCCGCGTTCGAGTCTATACTTTGGAGCACTGTTGCAATTGCAGCGCATCGACGGCGCGTTTTAGTGCGTGGACGGAAAGTATTAACGCTGCCTCAATCTAGTCAGGTTGACACTACTCTCTTTGCACTCATGTGTGTCACGTGCAGCGAACAAGGACATAGAGGGGTAGGTGCGCAAAGTGATAACGACTGATAGAACGTTGGAAAGGGGAAATGCCATTGAATTTATAGCTGAACTTCACGGATGGTGCGGCTCTCCCGTAAATGAGGTAGAGTGAGTACATTTAGAGAATTGCATGTGAGACTGAACAGTTTTTAAGTGAGCAAGACATAGCGAAAAGAACTTCAAATTTCAGTACGATCGACGACTAGCTCGAGCTAGACACATACGGACATGGCGTACCGAATTGGAATTGGAGCTGGAGCACGAGCGTTTTGAAGACGACTCCGATGAGGAAATAGTTCGCGAAAAGCCGCAACAGCCGAATGTACAGAAGATCGACCAAAAGCCGAATTTTTTGGATTCTGAATCACTTATTATAGAGCCGTTAGATCAGAAAGTTGTCACAGATGCTGTATCTTCGGAGCGGGATGATCACGAGTTCCCTGGTAAGACGAATTTGATAAAAAGCGTGAGATCTTCGCGAGACAACTCGGATATCAGTCAAAGTGGACGGGCTCTGGCCGGTGATGGAGGGAAGGAAGTTCGTCGGAAGGGCCGAAGACACTACGACAAAACTCTCTGCCCAAAATAGTTGCCAAAAGCACAAGAACACCTGGTCCATATAAAAAATCCGAGTCACTTTTATCACCAGCTAATCAGCCACTCCTCGAAGAAAACCGAACAACACCCTCTCCAGAGCACAGCAAGGGGTCTTGCGAAAGAAAACCACCATCACCATGTTCAGGGAGGAATAAGCGATCACAAATGGTGGTCGCAGTTTACGATAAAAAAACGGTCGGCTGAGGTTTTGTAAAGATTACATTATCAATCTAAGATATCTGCTTCTCTGTAAAGTATCTCATCTCCTAATCGTTAGAATTTTCAAGAAATTGGTCGGGCTATTTTGTGTTTCTTCGGCTTAAGATGACAGTTACCAGGGAGGATCCTCGACTGTAGATATCTTCTTTCGAATAAAGCTTTCTTTGCACTGACTCACTCAGAAGCAATAACACTGACGAGCATCAATAAACTCTCCATACAGTGCGCGCTTATTCTACGCGCTCCGGGGACGGTGAATTTAGATAGCAGATTCTTCTGGGGAGGATCGGCATCCACACGGCGGCCCCCGCTTCGTATAGGCGCGATAAGCCACTACGAGATTCTGAACTGGAAGAAGGATGTGGAGGGATTGATCGACGGCGGAGACTTTTGATCCTTTTAGAACTCGGTCTCAGCATACAGTAAACGGCAGCAATGCGAGAGCAAACGTCCTCTGCAACCTGGCCACCGCCAGCACTAATAAACAGCTCGAAAATCGCTCTGTTGGTCTAGTAGGCCCTCTATGGTGGCTCACAGTGCCTCCTGAGAAACTTCGCGCTCAGTTCTCTCCTAAGATCTCTTAGAGCTTCCAATATGCTCGTGATTCTGAATGCAAACTTCTTCTGCTTTTAGGATAGGTTGTAACAGAGAAGTCCGCTACCGCAAGTCATTGTATAGGCCACATCGCATCGATAAGCCACTACGATTCTGAATGGAAGTAGGATGTGGACCTCTTCAGAGCTTCAATACGCTCTGTTCTGAAGTGCAAGCTTTCTTCTAGAGGATAGATTGTACAGAGAAGTCCGCTACGCTGATATTTGGCGAATCTGCTAGCCAGAACGACACGTAATTTTGAAAACACCGAGCAGTCTTGAATTGTTTTTTGAAGCTAAAGCTTAATTCTTCTGAACGTCAGACAGGGTTCTTCAGAAGCACGCCCCGAGTTCGGAAATTATGGTATCTGCGGCCTAAATACTAATGATAAAAGGATAAAGTCTTCGCCGTTGATCAATCCCTTTGTGGGATGCGGCACGCATTCTACTTCCATTCAGAATCGTAGTGGCTTATTGAATGCGATGTGGCCTATATGACTTGCGGGGCCAGCCGATGTACAAGTCAGTGTTTTATCCTCCCAGACGAATCTGGTACCAATTCACCGTCCCCGGAGGGTAGAAGGCTTGGTTGGCCTGGGCGGGAGTCGACCCGGGATTTGAGGACCGCGCGAGTGGTGAGCGCGCCACTTGTCACTACACCGCCTCTTGCCCAATACTAATGATAATGGTGATTAATACAAAAATAATAGGAAAAGACAGAACAACCCGCCTGCACTCCCCAGATAGAACCCTATGCCAAACGAGCTTATAAATGCATTAGGCCAAGAGAGGGTGCAGTGGGCCCAGAAGAATTCTCACTTGCTGGTATCGGCTGCTTCCCCTTACCACCCTTCCCACCATGTGAAAATGCGAGAGCTAGAAACGTAGCGAACGCACAACACTAAGCCTTTAAAAATGAAAGTTTTGCGTTCGCGGTGGCCAGTGGGGGGGGGCGGTGGCCTTGAAGGCTTTATTCATGTATTTTTGAGCTGCGAGAACGGACGAGACTACCCCGACCAAAAAAGGTGTCGAAATATAGAATGTACATGGAGCGTGCCTACACTTGGTCTTCTACCCGCAATAACATAATCTTGAAACCATCTCGAGAGTGAACCTTGCGAGCAATCTTGAAGCTTTACT